GCGGGCGGCCAGCCGGGCCCGGGCCCGCTGGCCGGCCTCGGCGGACGGGGCAGGGAGGGCTCCCCGCCCGGACCCCGCCCCCACAGAGGCGCTCTGCTTGGCTCTTCCAGGGTAACGAGGCGCTGGCCATCCCGGGGGAGCAGGTGACCGAGGAGCAGTTCACGGATGAGCAGGGCAACATCATCACAAAGAAGGTGAGTCGCCCGCGAGGGGGCGGCGGGGAGGGGGCTGCCTGGCCCGTGTCCGCCTCCCCACACTTGGGGGGCTTTTCCTGCCAGTGCTGGTGCGGCAAAGGACAGCTGGCTCGAGAACCCCGCTGCAGCCCTTTGCCTGCTCCTCTCCGAGTTTGCCCCATGGCGGATTCCCGATTCCTCCGGTGTGCTGCACCCGTGGAGAGGCCCCCGCGGTGTTAATGCCCGTCTTTTCTGGGCTGAGGTCACAGGAGACGTGTGCCATTTTTGTCCCTGCTGCCGCTGGGCAAAAGGGCTTGCGTTTTTGCAGCCGCTCACTCTGTGTATTCCCAGGGGAAAGGTGGAGAAAAAGGGCTCCTTCGGATATTTATAGTTTATTTATTATTAAGTTTGCTTTAAAGCTGCCATTAGCAGCATGCTCCCTTACGGGTCATTAAGAATCACTTTCTAACACTACCTTTCCCAGGCTGGCTGAGAATGATGGGAGGTGTAGTTCGACTCCTCTGGAGGGAGCTGCTTTGAGGGAGGCTAGCCAGCAAAGATCAGCAAGGATTTGGCCTCCCTAAACCGTTTGCCATGAAAAGTCATTTGGACCAGCTCCAAATGCCTGTACAGTGTCAGCTGCTCTTCCCGAAAGCCCAGTGGGTCGCGCCGGCCTCTTACCCCATGTTGCCCTTGCAATATCCTTTCAGTTTGGTTAGGTCTGTTGATAATGACAGACCCTGCAAATCCCACAGCCAGTCCCTGGAGCTGGGAACCCGGCTCTCTGCCTCCCCTGCCCCCCAGGGCCGACTGCAAGGAAGCGGTTTCTCCCGCAGGAAACTGGCAAACGAGTTTGTGTCATTGGGGGCACTGTTAGCATGTTTATAAAGAGGAAGGAGGAAGCTCATCTTTCTGTGTTTTGGACAATACAGCCTATCATTCCCATTCCAGACATGCTGGCATTTCAGTGCAACAGATCTGGAGGGTGCTAGGCTGGGAAGAGACTCTAGGATGTGGCTTGGCTCACTCGCTGGAGTCATTGGGAGCAATTTGCTGACCCCCTTTTTGTCTGAACTGGGGAGGTCTCTCAGCTGGGGGGGGGAATGGGAAGACAGAGGGAGGGCCGGCTGGTTGCAGTCTGGTGCCCAGGGCCTGTGCAAATGCTTGCGGGGCTTTGGTAAAGGATCCGCAAAAGGGATTGGATTGGGAGCGTGTGAGAGAGAAGGTGAGCCAGACAGGAACAAAATCCCCGTGCCCTGACAGCCCCTTCCAACTGCGGATTCCTTTCCTACCTTGTCCTTCGCGGGCAACACTTCCAGGGAGATACTCTGAGACGAGGGCCGTCCCTAGTGGATCAGACAAGTGTCCACTGAGAAACCCGCGGCTCTGTGCGTGCATGCTTGTGTTTTGCACACACCAAGCACTCTCCCCCAGGAGAGTTGTGCAGGAGTTTCCCTGCCAGTTCTGAGTGTCCAGCGAAAAAGGGAGAGGACCAAACACAGCAATTAGCAAACCACACAGGTGGCGCATCGTTAATTTACAGGACACTTTCTTGAGCTGCTGATGGGAAAAAGAGGGCTTTGGGAAGGCTTCCTCTACAGTAAAGTAACCGCAGGAGAATCGAGCCCCTAGCCAATCCACCCTCAGGGTGACGTGCTGTGAGGATCTCGGAGCTTCTACAGGCTGGGCATTCTTACTAATAATTATGGGATGGGGTAGCGGGGAGAAGGGAGAGTAACAGGAAAGGAGTGGCTGGCCAGATGTTGGAGGGCTGCTGGTGCTATCAGCCATAGCCAGTGGCACAGGATTATGGGGTCGGTCGCCCATGCCTGCGCGAAAGAGCTCAGCCACAGACTCTGTTGACCAGTGAGTTGGTGCCAGGGGGCCGAGCCGGTGCTCCGGGAAGGGGCTTCGGGGCACATGGTGGCTGGAGGCAGCGGGAGTGTTGGGGAGAGCGACGTCCTGAACGGCTCGCTCGCTCCTTGCAGATCATCAGGAAGGTGGTGCGGCGGCTGGACGCGGACGGCACGGGAGACGGGCGGCCACATGAGGAGGTGACTATCGCGGGCTCCCTGCCAACGCTGCATGGGCTGGAGGCCAAGTCGGACGGCTTTCTGACATACGCCGCTTGGCAGCAGGAGAGTACGAGCAGCAAGGTACCGAGCCCGGGGCAGCCCGACCCCACGGCTCCGGCTGCAACCTCTCTGTCGCTTCTTCCGTGCCCCCTCTCCCCCTTCTCCTCCTGTGCCCCACTCCGGACTTCGGCCAAGGCCTCCTGACTTCTGACTTCCTTCTCCGTGTGTTTCTCTGCCTGCCTGCCTGCCTGCCTGCCTGCCTGTCTGTGCCGTGTCCGTCCTTGACTGTGTCCGGCTTTGCTGTCTCTTGCCGCCGTCGCCCAGGAGGAGGTGGAAGGGAGTGCCCCGAGATCGGAGCTGCTTGGGGGCAGGATGGGTGCTCAGATAGTGAAGCGAGCCAGCCTGAAAAGGGGGAAGCAGTGACACCCCAGCCCCCTCCGAGTGACCTCTTGGGAGGTAAACACGCCTTTGTTCTTACTGGGGAGGGAGGGGGGGAGGGAGGGTGTGTGGAATCCACGCTTGCAGCCACAGGCTCTCGCGGCTGTGGGCTGCGGGGCTCAGCCTTTCGGCCCCTGCCCACCCCACCCCTTGGTCCTGAGACATGTACCAAAACGAGAATTGCTGGTGTGCCTACGGCACCGCAAGCCCCTCCTGGCCTGTCTGGGCTGCCAGATCCTGCGTGAAGCACCCGAGATGCTCTGTGGAGCTGAAGGACGCGGCTCCGTCCCCGCAGCCCCTGCTCCAGCCTTCGCGAGGCACTTCCCTGTGGGGCAAACAAGCAGCGAACAAAAGAGGCAGCCAGCCTCCGGCTCAGTAGCAACACCCGTTTGTGGGCACCCCTGGAGGGGCTGCGCATCGGGGGCAGTGCAGAGAAGTGCTGTGAGTTCCTGACCTGGACCCCTGCCCCCAGCCAGCCAGGCTGTTCCAGCCCCCACGGCACTGAGTCTCAGCCGCCCTCTAGTCCTCGAGAGCCCCGGAGTGCCGGAGCGGGAACGGATGCCGCGTGTGCAGGAGGAGGCTGCAGGCTGAGCGTCCTCGGCCCACTCATGAAGCACCGCTTTCTCCCTGGCCTGTGGCGTCTGGCCCCTGGGGCCACATGGGCTGCCACGGCTGCAGTTTCTGTGCTTTGGCAGGGAGGGAGAAGGCCGTCTGCCCACTGAGCTCCCCGGTCTTACCTGCACAGGTGTCCCTGGCGGAAGACGCAGCACCTCCCCTGTCTCTGGTGCCCAAAGCACGAGAAGGCCACCTGCCGAGCACGGGGTTGGCGGTTCGCTCTCCGTGGCCAGAGATGCCCCCGTGCAGGTCCTCGGGGCAGAGTTTTTGCTCCTCCACCGCGAGATCTTCCCCCGACGTGCGGCAAGAGCGGCTGCTGCTGCTGAGCCTCCCTCGAGGGCCGAGCCCCAGTCCTCCTCGGAGGGGTGTGCCATGGACGGCGCCCTCGCCGGGCTCCGGGGCAGCGTGCGTGCCCTGCGGGGAGCCCCAGCTCTGGGCACTCGCGCCACTCGCCCCGCTGCATTAAAAGCGGAAAGGGTGCGCCAGCTCTTGCATTGCAAGCCTGCCAGGGCTTTGGCTGTCTGTGAGCCACACTTCCATGGGGAGCAGCCCTGGCAGGGCCAGTCCCCCTTGAGGCCTGCCCACGTGGCTCCCGCTTCCGTCTGTCGCTCTGTTCAGCACGGAGACCTGTGTGTTTCCCAGCTTGGCTGTCCTGCTGTGTTCTGAGACTGGGCGGTGGGGAAGCGGTGGTGGGGGCAGAGGGGCTGCAGGCGCTTTAAAGTGCGGGTCGGTGCCTGTGGGGGCCGTGCCACGCTGCGCCACGCTGCGCCGTGGGCGCAGGGCCCTCCAGGCAGCTAACCCTCCTTTCTCTCCCCCGCAGGGCCTCACCTCGACACCAACCCACTGACCTCCGCCCCTCCGTGCCCCCACCGGGCCAGGCGAGTGGAGCTGCGAGCTCACCAGGGCAGGGCCAGCGCTCCAAGATTCTTTAGTTAATGGCATGATTTCCGTAAGAGACATAACTTTGCTGTCGTATTCGCATGACCAACCGACTGCAGACGCATGAACAGCCGTTCTTCTTCCCGTCGCCAAGCCTGGACCAGGACACCGAGGAGCGGACAAGCTGCGGAAGGGCGTGGGGGTGCCCTTCCCAAGCCCCCTTCTCGACGTGGTGCCTCGGCCCCGGGGAAGGAGCGGGCCCCACAGAGCTCGCCTGCCCCCCCCCACCCCTGCTCGGCCCTCCCACTGGCTCCGTGCTTGGCTGGGCCGTGCCCCCTCGCCACGCCTGGCGTGGGCTCCCCGCCCGTCCACTCGGCCTGGGAGGCGGGCGCAGCGGAGGGCTGCCCGGGGGCCTGGCTGCCCCTCTGTTCTCGCGGAAAGCCCAGCCTGGACAGTTGCTCAAACCTTGTGTATATGATAACGAACCGAAACCTACTATGCAAACACAATAGGGACGCTCGGCAGGATCGGAAAGGCTTGGCTCCCTGGAAACCTCCACAGGCCACCAGCCGTCGACAGAAGGGGGCAGGCACCCCGGGGGCTTCGAGGCAGAGCGAGTCTCCGGGGCTGACCCCCCGCAAGCACTCGCGCACGTGGGGGGGGGGTGGCTAGGGGAGGGGGAGGCAACGGGGAGAAGGGCTCGCACGGGGGCCTCTGCCGACACACGCCACGCCAAGTCCTGGGGACGCGCCCCTCCGTCGGGCCTGGGCCGCCCCGGGCGAGCACGGCCGCCCGCCCACCCGCACCACCGGCCCCCGGCTCCCTCCAGCACAATCGGTCACTCAGTCGGGGTGCAGACCCCCCCCCCCGAGAGGACCCGGAGAGGTCCCACACTCAGCACAGACATGGCGGCCGCCATCGCCCCAGACCACTCCCCACCGGGGCGCAGCTGAATCCCCCTGTGCACCCCGCCAGCTTCTGCAGGGGGTGTGGCGCCCTGCGGGGGTCTCCTCCACCGGAGGCGGTGTTCCTGCAGCCAGGGCCAGCTGCCCCTCGCCCCTGGGGGGTGCTTGCGAGCCCTTCCCCGCCAAGAGGGACCCCTGGGCCCGTCTCTGGAGGCCTCTGCCCTGACTTCCCCGGGGTGGAAGTGCCCCGGCCCCAGCAGAGGAGCGAGCGCCGCCGCCGCTTCAGCTCTTGTTCCCGGGGCCTAGCCAGGCCTCCTCCTGATGCCACTGCATGGCCCTGGTGCTGTTGGCCCCCGGGGCTCTGGGGCGGGCAAGCCGCGCGACCCCTCCCCATGGAAAAGGGCTTGCCAGCACCAGCTTGGAGGAGGAGTCCCACAAACGGGCCATGGGCCTCTCCCGGGGAGAAGAGCTCCCCCACGGGGTGGGGCGCCCCCAGCCCCACAACACTTGCCCTGCCCCCCCCCCAAATGGCTGACACAGCATCGCCATAGAGTCTAGCGTGGGCCTCCCATGCTTTGGCCCCTGTAGCGCGTAGGAAAATGAGCCTGCACTTCGCCCCTCACCTGCCTGCGGGGCGCCGCTTTGCCCGCTGATCGCTAGTAGGCGCTGTAAGGGGAGGGGGATGCCTAGAGAACGCCGCCGGCTGCACTCTAGATGCTTTTTAGACCTTTTGGAGATTATTTTTTGTTCCTTTTTTATTGTTATGGGAATCTGAGCCGTTGGGCTCCACCTCCTCCTCCCTCCATCCCGTGCCCCGATGTATAGACCATCTCCCCTTCTCCACCAGCTACCAGAATCCAAGTTAATAAATAAATCAACACCACCCTGTTTGGTCTCGTCTGCTCTCTTTGTTGTCTTGCTTCCTGTGCTTTATCTCATCCAGCAGAGAGTGGCTGACCAGGTGCCGATTAATACATTTGGTCACTTGCTGGGGTCACATCAAAACAGGTGAGGTATCGAGGAAACTGCGGTGCAGGTAGATTGGCAGGAATGCCACGGCTTTGCCCATTTGTACATGCACCTGCCAGCAGGTAAATGCAGCACCCAGACGAAAATAGGCCAGAGTCTCTGCTTATGGGTCACGCTCGCTCCGGCTTCTTTTGCACAAATGTGGAATGAGGCTTCCCTAGCCGCTAACTCAGCTAGTGGTGGTGTGGAATGCTTAGCAACACTCCAACTTCTCCGGAGCTGAGGAAGCGAGCAGCAGAAAGGTAGGGACTGATGGAATGACCTACTCTTGATGGGAAGGTGTGCAGCGAGAAGGAACACAGCCCCTCTGTAGCTCGTTAGACTCTGAAGAAGTAATTGGGTGGCATCTGTAACTGGAGAGAGAGAGACTGGACAACAAGCACAGAGACTGCAGGTCACACTTAGCTCTGCACTTCCCCTGCCTCACCCCAGGTGTCTGAATTTATAACCGTTTTCAGATGAAGTTTGCTAAGGAAATGCAACAGGTGTGTCTGCAGCAGTTCCATATTTCATAGAAGAGCAGAGTTGGAAGGGGCCACCAAGTCCAAGCCCCTGCTATTGCAGGACACCACATTATGTCATCCCACTTGGGTGGCTGCCCAGTTTCCCCTTGAATGCCTCCAGTGTGGGAGAGCCCCCCACCTCTCCAGGCAGCCGGTCCCACTGTCGTGTTCCTCTGGCAGTGAGGAAGCTTTTCCTGGTGTCCAGCCTGAATTGGGGTTGTCACAACTTGGATTGATTATTCCGTGTCCTGCACTCTGGCATCAGCAAGAAGAGATCTTGACCTTCCTCTTCGTGGCAGCTCTTGAGGCTCTTATAGAGAGATTATCATGTCCCCCTGCCTGTCTTCTCTTCTCAAGGCTGAACATGCCCAGTTCTCTCAATCCCTCCTCACCAAATGATCCATGGTGTTTCCAAACCCTGGACCATTTTTGTTGCCCTCCTCTGGGCCCTAATTTACCTGCATCTTTCTGAAATCTTGGTGCCCAGAACCGGACACAGCATTCCAGGTGAGGTCCGACTGGTGAGGAGCACAGGGGAACTACGACTTCTCGTGATTTGGAGGTAACACTTCTGTTAACGCATCCCAAAACGGCATTTGCCCTTTGGCGGCTGCATCGCCTTGTTGGCTCCTGCCTGGCCGTAAGTGCTGCACTGCGGGAGGCGCTCCTCCCACGAGTAGCCACTCGCCGGACTCTCCTTGCAGAAGGGCTGCTGAGGGTGGTCCTCAGGTCGGGGCAGGTATTTAGGGGAGGAGATGATCCCTCAGGTAGCTCAGTCCCAAGACTTCTAGGGCTCCGAATGGTAAAGCCAGGACTCCGAATCAAGGCCAGGCATGGAATGGCAGCCCCTGCAAGCGGCAATATGTGGGCCCAGCAGGATCGCATTGGCCAGTCCCTGTGAAGTGTCTTGCTGCCCTGCTTTGGACTAGCGGAAGTTCCCAGGCGGTTTTCAAGGGCGGCCCCAGGAACCCAGCGCGAGGCTGCCGGGACGGGTGGCTGCAGCGAGGTGGCCACCTCCAGAGAGGAGTGTAGTTGGTCTATCAGTCTAAGCAGATAAAAGGTGTTCTGTGCCCCCGACTCGAACCCCCCCCCACACACACACACCCCTTGTGACAGTGCCAGGTCCGGGACCACACCACACTTTCGGCCCAGCCTGATCCTTTCGGGGAGTGCGGAGCAGACTCATCCGGGCAGATGAACCCCCCTGTAATGAGACCTCTGTCTTGCCTGGGTTGAGTCTTGAACGGGGACGATCTGGGTTGATGGCCTCACCTGGATGAGATGAAAAGGAGCTGCAGGACTGGGCACCACCTGATGATGCACCAATTGATGGCCCTTCAGCCCCCACCTCTGGGTGGCAACTCCTGGCACTTTCATGCAGATGTTGAACAGCCTGGGGGACAGAAAAGCGTCCCCCAGTGAGTCCCATAGCAAACCTGCCAGGGACAAAGTGGAATCTTCCACTTTCTGGAGTCAGCCATCCAGCGCAGGGCTGCCAGCTTGCCACCCAGCAGCTTTTCCAGAAGATTCCATGGCCAACGGCAGCCAAAGCTGCCGAGAAGTCCAAGAGATTCAACCAGGTCGCATTCCACGGTCCCTCTCCTGGCAAAGCACCTCCAGCAGGGCGGCCGAGGCAGCATCTGCTCCAAACCGAGCTGCAGCCCCCCAAATGGGTCCGGTTGGAGCATGGAGCTGCCTCGAGCACCTTGCCCAGGCAGGGATACCGGCCAGCTGTTACTCGCTGCCAGGCCCGGGTTCGGCTTTTTAGCAGCGGCCTGGTTATGAGCTGTGTGAGACAACGGCTGCGCACAGGGCTTGTGCTGATTACCTTCCTGGAGGCTGGAAGCACAAGGACCGTGCCCCTCCGTCCCACCGGCCGGCTGCCTCGACGACACACAAAATCCACCGCCCGAAGCTGCCCCCTCAGTTTGCTTCTTTGAGGCACTGCCTCGGTGCTTCCCATCCAAGGTCTCTTCGTTGGACTCACGCAAACATGCAGAGTTTCTGTGTGTGTGTGTGTGTGTGTGAGTGTGTGACGCACACACGCACGCACCCCCCCCCCACTCTATCATCCATCACCCAGCAAGGCGGTGGCAGGCTCCATCCATCCCTCCTCCCGCTCATCCAGCGCCATCCAAGCGTTAAGGTTCTGGTGTTGACCGTCGATCTCTCGAAGGGCAATTTGTCTGGGTGCAGCCAATCCGGGCCCTGCCCTCGGCCAGCCCAATGAGAGCCGGGGACCTGGCACACCAGCCTATCACTGGCCCGCTATTCTAATAAGCCCCATCTTTTTTATCGGAGAGAAGGGAGCTTCTCTTGAAGTTAAACTTGGTGGCCGGCCGGCGTTGGTGACAGGATCCCGGGACACGCGGCGCTGCGAGGCGGGCCGTCCGATGGACTTGGGCTACGGGCGCCTTGGCCGGCGGTGCTGCCCGGGGCCCCAGCCGCCTCAGCAAGGGGCCTGCCCCGTGAGGGTGCCAAGCTGAGCCCCGGGGGTCCCAGTGGGATGGCCCTTCCGATGCGCCGGGCGCCTCTGTGAGTCTGGGAACGGGGCAGGCGTCCACGGCGTGTCCCACGCCAAGAGCCGACTATGGACTCCAACCTGCAAGGGACCTTCCTGCTGAACAGCCCTTCCGTGCCCCCGTTCCCCGAGCTGAAGGCCCCCATGTGCCAGTACTCGGTGCCGAACTCCTTCTACAAGCTCAGCCCCGCCGGGCTCAGCGCCCAGCTGGCGGCAGGCACGCCGCATGGCATCAGCGACATCCTGAGCCGGCCGGTGGCACCTCCGAACGGCAGCCTCTTGTCGGGCTACTCCCACGTTGGCGGATTCAACGGCCTGAGTGCCCAGAGCATTTACTACGGCTCCCAGGTGGGGAGTTTCTCCAAGACGGGCGGCGAGTATGCGGCCAGGGGGAGGAACTGCTGGGCCGACTCAGGGCAGGACTGGCACGGAGGTCGGCCCTGTGGCAACCGTAAGTAGCCGGCAAGGCACAGGTGGCTGAGCGGAGCAGGGCCCTTCGGATGCGTCTGGCAGGTTGCCGGCAGAGGGGCAAAGGTGGGCTGCTGGTCTGGGAGGGGCTGTAAAGAGGAACTGGCAAAGTGCGGTCTGGGCCAGACCTTGTCCCCCAGACTCATGAGCCGATTAGGATGGTGCATTGCTTACCAGGTTGTTTGAACAGGTCTCTGCCCTGCACTGCTTACAATCCAAATGGCAGCCGTGGAGTAGACAAAGCTGGGGGGGGAGGCGTGAGCTGGAGCTGAGTTTGGTGTTAAGTTTCCTTTGAACCAGGAATGAAGAAATTAAGTCAAAGGTTAAGAAAGAGGGTTCTTATGAGGAAAAGGTGGTGTGGGCTGTAGTTAGATCTAGCCTCAGCCATGTGTATGACCCTCAAAAGCCAGGTCTCTGCCCTGAGGAGCTGACAGTCTCAGTTTCCGCAGCATGAGGTGGAGCAGAAGAAAATCAAAGGAGAGCCCAAGCAGTCTGATAGCCTGGAATAGGCACAGATGTCGAGGTGTTGTTAAGGAGCCACAGGCGAAGCCCTCATGTCTAGCCTCGGAGAATCCCTCCATCATTCGCCCCGACCTCCTGGTGTCCCCAAGTCCTTCATGCCACACCCTTCCTCTGAAACAAACCACTGCAGAAGAGAAAAGCCGGAGAGCGGGGTACCTGGACGTCCCCACGGCTGCTCCGAAAGCGGCAGGCATGCCCCAGAGAAGGCGAGGCTCCCCTGAGCCCAGGGAGCGGTTTAGGCTCCGCTCCGCAAAAGTGCCCCTTGGAACGGAGGACGGCGCCAAGCAGCCGGGGACGGCTGATACCGGCTCATAAACAGTGTGCCAGAGGGCAGGAGCAGCTGCAGGGGGCAGGTGGGGACCTGGGTGGAGAGGCAGGCCTGGCACAAGAAAACAGGTTTTCCCGCCCGCCTGGCTGGAGGAGGGGAGCGGGACCCCACCCCAGCCGCTATCGAGGCACCGGGTCCAAATTCTCCTCTGCCTTTGGGGTGCTTCCCCTCCTCCTCGGCCCATGCCAGAATCCCACCCCAGGGACTTTGTTCTGGGAGGCCCCCCTTTGGACTGGCATCGGGGTCAGGGCTTGCTGTGGGGCGGAGGAACGCCCCATCCCCAGCTGGCTTTCACATTTCACCCCCTTTGGTCTGCGGCTGCTCAGCTTTCGGCAGCAGCGGGCACTTAGAAAAGTCGCTTTTGCAACTTCGCTCACACTTGCAGGATGAATGCGGTAGGGCAGGTGTTTGGTTCTGGGTACAAGGGCAGAGCCCCCCCACCCCCAAGAAAGATTCCCCACCACATCACTTGCAGAGAAGAAGCAGGAGGTCCCGGCTGTGAATCTTGTCTCTCTCACAAAGTCACCCACAGGCTGGAGCCGGCCACGTCTGCCTCGGCCTCCCCTCATCCCAGCTCCAACGTGGGGAAAAAGAATGCTGATCTAGCTTGTGTGGGTGTTGTCGAGGCTGCAGCTAAACATCGTGTGTGATGTGAGATGGGTCGCGACAACTCGGACAAATGTGGCCAGGATTGGCTCAGACTGTGCCTGTCCCACATGATGGCGAGTGGGGGTCTTAAGCGTAACTCCAGGAGGGGCACATGGAGGACGACCCCCGTTCTTCGGCTCCCCAAACCCCTTTCCCTCAGATAGGATTGTTTTCAGAACTGAGGTTGAGAAAAATGCTGGGGCCACAGAGAACTGGGGCAAGATTTGGCTCGTCTGATGCACGAGTTGAAAAACGACATCCGTGGAGCACATTTTGATACACAGTGTATTCAGGCGTGCGGGGGCGGGGGGTGGGGGGAGAAGAGAGGAGCAAAACCTTGACTGCCCCATCATGTCCTGTTTGGATTCTTGACTTCCAGGTAGCCAGGTTTAGCCTCCCTCCCCAGTCCAGGTGTGCCTATTCCTGTTCTCTGCAACCTGTTCCTGTGGAAATTAGGAGAGCACCACTTCCTTGCCCCTGAAGCTGGGGGCGGGGGGCAGGGCAGGGGGGCTATTAAATGTGCAGAGCAGAGCTTGCAGGGATGGTGGCAAACTGGACCCAGGTCACAATCTTGGCACACAGATGCAGCTTCCCTTTCTCTAGTGGGGGGGCCTGTGGGTAGTCCGAGAGGAGCGAGGCCAGTGGGGTTGGGAAAGGACGAGGCAAAGGCAGAGCCCCGGTGGGAAGCTGGGCCTGGTCAAGCGGCCGCTGCTTGTCTGCGGGATGATCGTACGTGAAGGTCGGGAGCAGGCGGCTGCTCAGCTCGCCCAAAGCTGCTTGCACCAGTCAGCAGTAAAAACCTGAACAAATGGTCCCGACAGCCAGGAATGCGAGAGGTGGCAGTGCGTTGGGGGACCCTGGGAGAGACAGCCCAGAGCTGGCTGTCCTGTGAACGGGTGGAGGTATAGGATTTGGCCCGAGTCAATGGCTCCAGTCCAGGCACTATCCTACACCAGGCACTGACCATAGGAGAGCCCGCAGACCGGACCCGCCTGGAGTGCCCTTCCCAGCCCTTGGCATGCGGCAGCTCTTTGGGGTTCTTTCCGCACCGGCTGTGCGTCTGGAGTTGCGAGTGAGAGTTCAGCGCCAGGGCTGGTGGGGTTGTCTTTGGGGGCAGGGAGGGGGGGGAGAGGCTCAGCTGGGACATGAGGAATCGTGGCCATCCCTCAGTGCCTCCTCCTCGTGAGCAGGCGTGCAAGACAGCCGAGATCCGCTGGCTGTGTCTCCCACCGGGCAGCAGCACTGCCATGGCTGTCTTTGCTCTGGCTGCCCTGAGAGTTTTGCTGAGGCACATGAGACGGCCCTCAAGGGCTTGCATGAGCAGGACTGTCTCTGGGGTGCTTAACACTGTCAGCAAATATCTTCATTTAACACCCCCCCAAAAATAGTTCTATTCCACAATATGCAGAATGTTCCTTTAATCAGCTGATTAGTTTGAATCTTAATCTTGTCGGTACCCATCACACATCTGCGCATCTTATGCCAGGCTTCCAGGGGCGTCTGAAGTATTCTGGAGGGAGCAGGAAAGGTTTCTACTGGCAGAGGGTTTTCTCAGCCCAGAAACAGAAGCATTTGCTAAAAACGTAAACACTGGTTGGATCGCCAAATTCCCTACAGGTGGGGGCCAGACCTTAAAATGTGAGAGCCAGTGTGACATAGTAGCTTAGATGTGGGACAGGGACTCAAGCAATCTGGGTTCTAGTCCCTGCTCAGCCATGGAGCCCTCTGGGCGACTACAGGCCAGTTCTCAGCCCAGCCTACCTCACAGGGTTGTTGTGGGGATAAGACCAAGAGGCAGGGGAGGAGACTTATGAACATCACTCAGATTTCTTTGGAAAGAAGGACAATGGGATATGGATCTGATAAATAAATATGCCGCACGACGCAGTGGAGCAACAGAAGGCAGTTCTTGCGGATCCACCCTTAAGTCTAAAGGGAGTTGAGTCGTTGAGGCTGAGACATAATGTTAAGTTGGGAAAGGTGCGACGCTGTGCCTTCCCAGGGTCTGCAGCTCGCAGCACAGACGGCGGAGGACACCAAAGCCGTGGCGTGGGCTAAACAGGCAGCGGCTCGAGCCCCTGCCCTGGGATTTTTTCCCCTGTTTATACAGTCTCCCTGAGCTAGGTGCTATGCAGAAGGGAACTAACCCTTCTTATTGTCTTCCTGGAGAGAGTTATTTAAGAGAATTGTGGTGTGCTCTTGCCCCCTGGGAACTCCAGCCTGAGCCAGCACAGTCCAGAAATGGACCTTTGTCCCTCAGCTGCTTTTTGTGAGAAAGGGACCACAGAGACATCGACTAGCTTGAAATAACACAATGACCCACACTCAAAGGCTGTTGTCTGTGCATTGCTGCCGAAATGATGGTTATCGTGGCTCCAGGGAGATGGTCCTCAGATGCTCTGAGGGCATTGAGTGCCAGCCCCAGTATGTATTTCGGATTGGGCCACTGAATGATGCCACACGGCACTGGAGAAACTGGCTTGAAGGGTCACCCCCCGAAGCAGTCTGGCTGCCCTGTTCTGCCCACCCCGAGAGGGATGCCCAGCGCCTGTCCGTGGGCCCTTATGCGCCAGGACGCGCCCCTTAATTTTCTCGCCACTGCGGTGCAGCAAGAGGGGGCGTGGGGGCCGGGGCCGGTGGGGAGCAGGAGAGCTCACCTGCTGGGGCTGCGATGGCGTGCGGGAGGCGGGTGCCCGTCCGTGACCTCGCTGCCCGTCTCCCTCCACACAGCCGCAGGGCCGGTGGGCGACGGCCTCCACAAGAAGAAGCACACGCGGCCCACCTTCACAGGCCACCAGATCTTTGCCTTGGAGAAAACCTTTGAGCAGACCAAATACCTGGCCGGGCCTGAGCGGGCGCGACTGGCTTATTCCCTGGGCATGAGCGAGTCCCAAGTGAAGGTGAGTTCCCCGTGCATGCGCCCCGCCCATGGGGGGCTTGCGCACAGGGAGGCGAGGGCCTTGCCGCGCCATCCCTGGGGCCCCCACCGACTCACGGCTCTTGCGCAGAACCCAGCCTTGGGCCCACACGGTGTGGACCCCAGGTCGCCCCCCCCCTTAGGCAAAAGAGCCATCCGGAGAGGTGGCATCTGGGGCGTGAGACCTACCTGGGAAGGGCCTCCTCTGTGGTGGCGCCCCATCTATGGAATACGCTCCCCAGAGAGGTGTGCCAGGCGCCCACACTTTATTCTTTTCGGCACCAGGCTAAACCTTTTTATTTTCCCTATATTTTAATGTTTAATTGTTATTTTAATGGGGGTTTTATGGGATGATATGATGCTGCATTTTGCTTTATTTATTGTAAGACCGTCCTGAGACTTTTGTAAATAGGACTGTATAGAAAAACGTCTAACAAATAACAATGAATAAATCAGCAGAAAGATGCTGTGGGAAGCACCATGGCCCACAGTCGACCTGTGGGCCCCTGGTGCCCCCCGCCCCGCCGCTTGCTGTTCTGCTGCATCTCAGCAGGAGATTTCTGGCTTTCCTGTTTGCATGTTTTGATGCAGCCATGGGACAGCAGCAATGGTGCAGAGAGGGACCCTAGGGGCATGTGATCTCATAGACCCCCTGAATGTCCCAGGAAGGAAGGAAGGAAGGAAGGACGACAGTTTGGGACTGAGGCTCGAGAGAAGTGATGAAGATGGTTGCCTGCATCTCTTTACTGCTGACAGGGCAGCGCTCCATCTTTGGTGATGCCAGACGTGGCTCGGGAAGAGGGCTTTGCTGGCGCCTGAGATGGATGCAGGAGCGCCTGGACACCTCGCTGTGGTCCAGCAAAGATGCTGTCTATCCTCCTGCACAACCGTCTCAAGGCAAAACCACTCGGGAGTCCAAGGTGGCCTGTTGACACACTTTAGTGGCTCGTCACATTTTCAGGGCCACGAGCTTGCGAAGAAGAGTCGCCTGGGCTGTGCCCTTAATAGCAGAAATAGCCGTTTCAGAAATAGCTACTGGGAAGAATCCCTTGACCAGCAGCTCCTCTGCCCCCTAACATCACGATCCTGTTAAAAGCACAGGACGCCGGGGCAAGGGGGAAGGTTGGCCACCATACCCTTCGGACGTGACGGGAGCATGCCTGTCCGGAAAGCCGCCACCGCTAATCAAACTGAGCCGAGCCTCAAGCTTCCCCGACAGCCGCCGCCTTCTAAGGTTCCTGTCTGCTTCCAAAGCAAAGTTATTAGCACACCCAAATAGACGAAGTGGCAGGTTTACTCTAGTTTTGAAATATGATGATAATCGGCTGTCTAGAAGTTCAGCAATTAATAGTACTTTATTGATTTGTTATTATTTTAGGACATTGGGTGTTTTTTAAAAATTATGATTATAGAAACATCTGAGCCATTTTTTCCCCCAAAAGAATGAGTGCCTAGCTAAACAAATTAAGGCTGCTACTAATTAAAGAAATCTTAGTCGATTAATCCTGTGGCTTTTAGTCAATAGATTCATTAAATGAGCAAATTTGCATATGCTTGCATCTGCTTATTAGAATCGTTCTGAAGTGACTAAATGCATATTTTGCTTTGAGGCAATGCCCCAATTTAAAACCACCAGGATATCTTAGAAGAAGCACCCTTTTGTGTACGAGGTGGAAGAAGCGTTCTCGCTTCCAAGAGGGGAATCTGCAGCTGGTAGTTTTTGTATGAAGTATAATTAACTTTTTAAAAAATCATCTGCTGCCTAGTTAATTGTGGAGGGGCACTATTTTAGTTATCTAAAGGTTTTGATTGATTATGTCACTGATTTAAATCCGGGCTGTGGAACCGCAGGCGTTTCCCCCCATAGTCTTCGGGATTTTGTGCCACTTCCCCCAAGTCTAACGGGGTTGGTTGAACTGCTGCAGCTAAACACCCGTATGCAAAGACCTGGGTCAGGGTGTTCCCCAGCGGGGAGGGATATCCTGCAACCCACAGTGCGGCAGCTACTTTCCCCCTGCAGCCAGGTGCTCGTGCCTTGAACAGCTGTGCACCCAAGGGACGTGCCTGCGGGTTGACATTTCCCCCTGGTGTGAGGATGCAAGAGTGAGGCAGTCCTCCCCAGCTGAAGAATTTCTGCTTGGCTCCCGGCTGCTTGAGGCACGGGAGTGATGCTGGGGAGTGACACGGGTCGGGAGGCACAGCTGGCACGAGGCACCCCTGACCGATTGCATCCTCCCCAGGTGTGGTTCCAGAACCGGCGCACCAAATGGAGGAAGAAGAGCGCTCTGGAGCCTTCTTCGTCCTCTCCCCGCGCAGGGGCTGGGGCAGGGGAGCGCTCCGTCTCTGACGAGGATGATGAATACAACAAGCCCCTCGACCCCGACTCGGACGACGAGAAGATCCGCCTGCTTTTGCGCAAACACCGGGCGGCCTTCTCCGTTCTGGGCCTGGGCTCCCACAGTGGCTGAGCAGCGGGGAACCCTCTGCTGCCCACCGCCCAGAATGGATGGAGGCTGAACCAGACTCGAGGGGCTTGTGGTGAGGGTTGGGGAGAAGGTCTGCGGCAGCAGGGGGCCCTCGCTAAGCAAGGAGGCACTACAAGAAGAGGGGGTGGCGTTGGCACCGCCAGACTCAAACCAGACGCTGGGCTCCACATTCTGGGCTGAGCCTGGAGAGCTGACAGCTCTCTGGACAGCACCTTCGTAGCTGCATGCAAAGCTAAGAGGGCACCTGGGACAGAAAGCGCATTTTCTCCATCGCCATGACTTTCCGCTGCTGGTTGCCACGGCTCACCCTTTGAGCGAGGCGGTAGAATTATTTTCAGTTGGCAAACAGCAACAGCGACAATAATCATGTTCACAGGTATATGCTTTCTTTCATCCATCACTGACTTTCACCCCTAAATTGCACATTTTAAAAGCACTTGCAAAAGCCCCGTTTCCACGGCGCAAACGGAACCACATGAAAAATGTGCAGGACTGGAAAGGCAAAGACGTGTCTGAGCCTGCCATGCCCATAAGACTGAACGAAGCTGAGGTGCCACCCTGGAAATGCCACGCCGTGGAGCTCTGCCCTTGATCTGAGCCAAAGCTCAAGCTGGCTCTGTCCTCAGAGCCAGGGCCAGGCGTGCAAAGCTGTGGAACAATCATGAAGAAGCACACCCCTGCCAGTAAGTGATCAAGCCCTGGTCTGGATGCGGGGGTCAGCGCTTCAAGGTTTTAAACCCTTCCAGTTTCCTTAGGTCTAGAACTTGAGAACACTTGGGGTTGGCCTGCTTAGAAGACTTCCAGCTGCTTTCCCTTGGGTGGCAGATGGGAGCTCTGATTCCCACTAACCTCACCAAATAACAATCCCCATGATTAGTTGGGGAAGCCAGGAGAGTAAAAGTGATATCCAGTTGATATATGATTACAGATAAGATAAGCCTAGAAATCAGCCATTGGCAGCATAGTGGAGAGAAGTTGGGCAGGTGCCACCTTTCCTTTCTCCAGGCTGCAGCAACGGGAGAATTGGCACCACAGACAATGCTGAACTTATCCCCTCTCTTTTTTGGTTTACTTTTGCAAACCAGGGTCTGATCCTGGTGCATTTGGAAAAGGATTATCAATGAGGCTTCCACTGAGGAAGGGTGGATTCCAAGTGCAGTTACATTATCACTCAGGATGGTTTTTCTGCTCATAAGAGAAGGGAAGGGAGACAGATGCAATACAGTTACCAAAAAGATCAAGAATGTTTTCAGGTGAGGCTGTTCTTGCAATCCTGCTGCCTCATTCATGAGCTTTTATGCAGGATCGAGGAGTCATTTTAAAGGTGGAGCCCTCCTGTGTTTCTCTCCACATCTTTCTATTTTCCTACCAAGGAGAAAAAAAAATCTGTCAAAAAGAAGAGACAAAATTCCAGCACAGTATCATGCACAATAGGAGAGTTGGGTCTGGAAGGCCCCGGGCTTTCTCTTTTAATTATAATCCTCTTGGTATTGTTACCATCCAGGCTGCCAAACAAGAAAATGCAAAAACAGTTTCCCAAAGCAGCTTCTTGGCATTTTTCCTTCTAATGATGCCATTCACACAAGTTTTAAAACATTCCCACCATTTAAAACATCAGCTCCATGGCCCTTTCGCTGTGCATAACATATAGGGGTGCTTTCAGGCACAGGATTGGGTCCAGATTTTTGTCCTACATAGAGCAATCAATGTTAGTCAGTGGCTCTACTCTAAGTCGGACGAAACCTGGATCCAACCCGATGCTTTAACGGCGCAAGCAGTGTGCCTCAATCGCTGAGTTTTATGGGGGATCCAAACTATGTTGTCTTCTGTTGGTACCTTGCTGCGTTTCCTCCTGTTTCTGCCATCTTTTTTTGATCATGAAGATGGAACAGGGGGCGTGTGGCTACTGAAGCCCGGGGTCTCCCACGGCTAGGCGTTGGCAACCCTATGGAGGGGCCGCGGGGGTGATGCACTGCACAAACACCGATCACAGAAAATAAAGGTTGTTGTAAGCTTGATGAGCCTCAGGCCCAGTTCTTCTTCTTTCTCTGAGGTGCGGCTGCCCAGGTGATTCTCTCAAGTGTGTGGTATAGCGGGGAGAAGGCTTTTGGCCAAAGAAGAGGACTGAGAACCCACAAGGAAGGTGGGAAATGCCTTTGCTGGCTTTCCAACCCGTTTCCAGAAAAGCAAATACAAGGGGTTTGTCCCCTGGGCCTTTAAACAAACTCACCTGAGCACCTGAGGTGAATAGGTTGTGTGTAAGACTGCCTGGTGATGCTATGCTGACTTTCCCCCGATTGCCGGAGAAGCGTCTGCAACCTGGTGGCCCCTGCTGTGCTCTGGAGTTCTCAGGGAGGCATGGTTTTGGCTCCTCCTGAAAACAGGGTTATTTTACGTAAGGCTTCCTTGATTGAGCAGAAGTTTCTATCGGTATTCTGTGTTTAAGAAACAAACTTTTAATAGTCTTTTCTTTGTATCTTGTATTATTCACTGCTCCAAAATATGTTTAGATGTGGAACAGTCATTCTCCATTGATTGATTGATTCTAAATCCAATAAGCAAACAAAACAGGTGGGTGGTATGAGAGCGGGGACCCCCCTCCCCTCCCCAGACGCTAGAATTTTTGGCACCAACACTTGGCCACGGTCCTGCTGAAGACGGACCTCAAGTTTTAAGAGAGAGGAAGAAAGGAAACCTGTGTCCAAGCTGCTGCAAGATTTTGCTATGCAAAATTAAATTGCGATGTCTTGCCCACGAAAAAGCAGCGTGTGCTTTTGCTGCGGTTGCTCTCGACACGACGCGAGAGCCCAACGGAGATCTGGGTTGTGGGGGCTGCTTGCATGTGGTGGGAAAGAGGTGGCTGGAGGGCAGACATGATTCCGTTCTGCATCCTCGGAAGGGCTCCCTGCGCCTCCTCGCCATGGCCTGGGAACCAAAAGGACTTTTGATCCAAAAGGCATTTTAACCAGAGCCGGTGAGCGAAGGGCAGCTCTGACGGAAAAGCCGCTTTCTCCAGCAATCCCTGTATTGACCATTATTGAGAATAACGGATGTCCATGGGGCATGTTTAGACCAAGAAAGGCTTGCCAGTACTGGGGGCCTGGGGGGGGGGTTGCTCTTTAAACTTCCCTGGATACCCCAGCTGCCGCCCACACCCTAGGAGGCCCATCGAGGTGGGAGGGGGCCCTCCAGCTGGGACTTGGCCAAAGGCCCCCCTGACGCAGGGGCGAGCTTTTCTCACAGCCCAAAGGCCCGTCCTTTGGCCAAGCACAAGCACAACCTCTTGCTATTTTTCAGGGGGCCCTGCAGGAGAATTCCCCCATGGGTTGAGTCCCCGTTCACTGGGAGGAGGGCAGCACACCGGGGGCCGCTGGAGTTAGTCCATGGCAGGCCTCTTGCTCTGGGGTAGACCTGCCTCCGTCCAAGTGGCTGTGGGGGCAGCTTTCTCGAGGCTTCCCCAAAATACCAGGGGGTGGGATTGACAGCTGCCCCCAGGAGAAAAAAGGGCCATCGCTTTGCTCCTGGCTGTGCACCCTTGCGATTTTTCTTCAGCCTTGCGGGAGTCACCCAAGGCGTCAGTTCAAAAGTCGCTCATTAGGCTCCTGCTGGAAGACATTAGTGTGCAATCAATCTCCGTTTATCTTGGGCCGACGAGGAAAAGCCCATTCAGCTGTCGTGGCTGAGGGATTGATGCTGTGTCAATAGCAGTGGAGTGTTTGCCCTGCCTACAGAGCGGTGTGAGCATCAGCGCACGCATGTGCGGAAGGACACACACTTATGCCCAGATAGCCCTACAGTCCCCTGAGCCCGGTTGTGAACGTGTACCTAGGGTGGGGCAGTTATGGGGCTCAAAGATCATCCAGCCTGTTGACCAGCAATTCATTCCTTCAGAGGCTCAGTGAGGGCAGCAGGCCAGGCAGGATTGTGCAAGGAAGCCTGTTCAGTCATTGAGTGTGACAGAAAATGGAGGAAGATATTAGAGAGATCCAAATAAGGGAAACAGCAGAGTGGCTGTTTAGATGTTTGATAAGTTGAGCTGAGCTATGAACAGAATTTTAGCAGTGATTGAATGTCGAAGCTTTAAAGTTACAGAGAGGAGGAGGAAGAAGTAAGTTGCAAAATAAAAGGATATAAAACAATATATCTCCCTACCAAAGCCTAAAATGGTATGGCCTAGGCTGCAGAGCCAGGCTAGGTGTGAGGGAAGCCAGGTTTAAATGCCTGCACAGCAGTTAAATGTGCAGGAGTGCTGGCGGGGAGCAGTTCAGCCAGTTGTGATCTTGAAACCCTCACCTACCTCACAGGGTTGTTAGGAAGATGGAGAGAGAGAACCATGTTACACCATTTTGCACTTCCTGGAAGAAAGACAGGCTACAGACTTAAAACCAGGTTTGGTACCTCCGTGAGAACTAACAGAGCGATCCTGCCAGAGCAGGCAAAGGGGGTTCATGTTACCTGCTGCATTGCACCAGATACAGCCAAAGGCGGTGAGGTGGGGTCTGCTTTTCCCTGGCAATCGGCAGTTGGTGTTGGGGGTGATGGGCATTGTAGTCTAACCCATCTGGAAGGCTCCAGCTTGAGAAAGACTGTTCTGTGGAGACAGGCTGCCTGTCCTGGACTATTTTCTGCCTCACTTGGGGCTAGAAGAATTTAAGATGTGCTTTATGGAGGCCAGCCCAGAATTGCCAGCACAGGCTGGCAGCACCCGCTTGCTGGCTTCCAGGGAGGTGCTTTAGCAGCCCAGCGGGAGATCCTGGAGGCCGAATCCAGGACCTTCTGCCTGCACAGTGGGGACACGCCTGCTGAACCTGAGTCCAGCCCCCAGGAGAACATGCGAATACACGCAAGTCATTATTGCGACTGTGCGGCAAAGCTCCCCCCAGCCCCAGCTGTGACTCCTTCGGCAGCACGAAAAAACGTGCTCGGAGGAAGAGGGGCGGTGGTTGGCCAGGTGTTTGTTTCCCAAATCCCTTGCAAATGAG